ACACGCCCTCCACCGCCCGGAACTCGCCCTCCGCGGCCTGGGACACGCCCACCGCCCCCACAGGTCACGCCCACCCGTCAGCAGACCCCGCCCACCGCCGCCAGCGCCGCCGGGGACCCCGCTGCGGGGAATGACGGGAGCCGGACATCGGAGGCCACGCCCACCAGCGCTCAGGACACGCCCACCGATGCCAGGGAGACGCCCACTGCGGCTCGGGCCACGCCCTCCGCTGCGGGGAATGACGGGAGCCTGACATCAGAGGCCACGCCCACCTGCGCGCAGGCCACGCCCACCGGGGCCCCAGCGCCTCCCCAAGGCCCAAGCGCGCTGCTGCCAGGGCCCGGGGGTGACGTCACCCGGGATACGGTGAGTGGGGCGGGGCCGGGAGGGAGGGACACACCCACAGGAGAGGACACGCCCATAGATCAGACCACGCCCACCTAAGAAGACTTAGCCTCTGCCCCGGCCACGCCCACAGCGCAGACCACGCCCACGCCAGGGGACACATCCTCGCCCTGGCTACGCCCACAGGGAGGCCACGCCCACGCCAGGGGACACAGCAGAGCACAAGCCCCGCCCCCAGGCCGGGAGACGCTCATCTAAGAGGCCCCGCCCCCAGGGTGAGGCACCGCACAGCAGAGGCCACGCCCCCAGCAGGCCACGCCCACCTCAGGGTCCCTCCAAAGCCTAGGGCAGCAGGGGACACGCCCACAGGCCAGGCCACGCCCCCAGCCCAGGCCACGCCCACCTCAGGGACCCTCCAAAGCGTAGGGCAGCAGGGGCCACGCCCACAGGCCGGGCCACGCTTACAGGTCGGGCCACGCCCACACCAGGGACCAAATCATTGGGCAAAGCTGAGCCACGCCCACCACAGACCACGCCCACCTCAAGGAACCCTAGAAAGCTTACGGCACCAGGGGCCACGCCCACAGGCCGGGCCACGCCCACAGGCCGGACCACGCCCACAGCCCGGACCACGACCCCACAGCCCGGGCCACGCCCACAGCCCTGACCACGCCCACAGCCCTGACCACGCCCACAGCCCGGGCCACGCCCACAGCCCGGACCACGCCCACCGCCCGGACCACGCCCACCGCCCGGACCACACCCACAGGCCGGGCCACGCCCACAGCCCTGACCACGCCCACAAGCGTCGGACACGCCCACCCCCAGGCTCTCCCAGGCCGAGTGACTGAGTGGGTCTGATTGACAGCCTCAGGGGGCGGGGCCGGGCTCTCTCTGCTTAGCTCCGCCCCCTTAGTTCTTCCCCGACCCAAGCCCCGCCCCTTCCCTTCCTCATTATCATAACCCCGCCCCCTCATTACCTTAGCCCCGCCCCTCCAGTCTCCTCTCACAGCCCCACGCCTTGTGTCTCCGCCCGCAGGTCCAGGCCCCGCCCCCGCCGGTGACCACGCCCCCTGATGCGCTGACTCCGCCCCGCCGCAGGCCCCGCCCCCGCAGGCCCCGCCCCCCATCCGCCCGGGACCTGGAGGCCGCCGTGGGGCAGGAAGTGGAGGCTGGAAGTGAGGGCAGGAAGTGAGGGCAGGAAGTGTGTGTGGAAGTTTGGACGGAAGTGAGTAAGGGCGGAAGTGAGGGCGGAAGTGAGGGCGGAAGTGAGGGCAGGAAGTGTGTGTGGAAGTTTGGACGGAAGTGAGTAAGGGTGGAAGTGAGGGCGGAAGTGAGGGCAGGAAG